TTATTATTATTATTGTATTATTATTATTATTATTATTATTATTATTATTATTATTGAATGTGTGGTTGGCGTTGTGGTGGGTGGAGAAAACTGTTGTGTGTGTCGGTGAAGTAACAGTAACACAGGGTAATGTTTGTGTCGCCCCCTGACAGTTTCCGATGATTGCTACCTCCAGTGACGGCAGAAAGCGAGGCACAGGAGATAGAGAGAGAGAGAGAGAGAGGAGGAGGAGGAGGAGGAGGGAAGGGACAGGAGATAGAGAGACAGAGAGGGGGAGAGAGTTTGGGGGTGTAGTAATCAGCTTTTGTGGCTTGGAGCTCCTGTCAAGTTGATGCCCGCGCTGGTGTAGTAATCTGTGTCTCTCTCTCTCTCTCTCTCTCTCTCTCTCTCTCTCTCACAGGGGTCACGGTAGAGACAGGTGAATATATATTTATATATACACACGTGTGGGAATACGAGGTGTTTTGTTAGGTAATGGCGCTTGTTGGACGAATCGTGTGATGCCTCTCCCACCACCTCCATTTAAATAATGTGAAGGAGTGCTATATTTAGGCTGTTCCGCTGAGAGAAGGAAGGAAGGAAGGAGGGAGGGAGATAAGAATGAAGGAGAGATTGAGTGAGGAGGAATGTGGGTAGAAAAGAGGTAAGGAGATGCTATATTTAGTCTGAGAGAAGGAGGGAAAGAAGGAGACAGAGAAGGAATAGGGAAGGAAGGGGGCATGGAAGAAAGGAGAGAGGGGTGGAAGGAAGGAAGGGGGGAGGAGGAAGATAATTAGAAAAGATGCGAAGGAGTGTAATATTTGAGTTTTTCTGCTGAGAGGAAGGAAGGAGAGAGGGAGGGATGGAGGTAAAGGAAGGAAGAAGGGAGGGATGGGACCAGATGAGTTAAAGTAGGTATGAAAGAGAGATAGAGAGAAGCAGGGGAAAGAGGAAGAAAAAGAAAAGAAAAATTGTTTTTAGAGAGAGAGGGGGAGAGATAGAGGGGAGATAGAGAGAGAGAGGGGGAGATAGAGAGAGAGGGGAGAGAGAGAGAGAGAGGGGGAGATAGAGAGAGGGGGGAGATAGAGAGAGAGGGGGGAGATAGATAGAGAGGGGGGAGATAGAGATAGGGGGGAGATAGAGAGAGAGAGGGGGGAGATAGAGAGGGGGGGAGAGAGAGAGAGGGGGGAGATAGAGAGAGGGGAGATAGAGAGAGAGGAGAGAGAGAGGGGGAGATAGGGAGAGAGGGGAGATAGAAGAGAGAGATAGAGGGGAGAAATAGAGAGAGAGATATATATTAAACTGTCAATACTGTACACATCCATTTATTTCATGGTGTCCGTGTGTATGTTTTTGAGTGTGTTTTCCTGCGTGTTTGAGTGTGCGTTTGAGTGTGTTTGCACGTTTAGGGAATTGGAGTTTTTTTTTTATGTATTTTAGTGAGTATTGGTATGTTTGGGTGAGTTTGTTACATAATTTGAGTGCGTTTCATGCGTATTTCAGTGAGTAGATGATATTTTTGTTGCGTATTTTGAGTGCGTTTCTTGCGTATTTCAACATCTTTCGCTAGAATTTGTTTGCGTGTCTTGTGTTTAGTTCCCTAGTTACTGTTTACTAAGTCTTCCCTTTACCTCTTTTATCTTGTTTTCTTTTCTTATTTATCTTTTTATTTGCGGAGGAATTTCATAACTAGACATTACGAGACACCTTGTACAATTACCACGGTGAAATTACGCCTTGAAGAACGTTGCTTATCTCGGCGGGGTTGTCATAGTAACCATTTCACCCGGTTTCCATGGTAACTTGGTTTTTTTAGGGGGGGGGGCGTTTTCCTCGTGGACAAAAAAACGTTTCCCCAGTTGACGGTAAAATAAACAAACGTTACCTGAAACACTCGTGGTTATAGCGTCAAACGTTCTCCTTCCACAAACGTTTATCGTCTAATAACACAACAAACATTTCTAACCACTGATGTTCATAGAGAGTAAACAGATTTTTTTTTTTTTCGATTTTAAAACTTCACTTAGATGGGGTAAGCGTTTTAGCAGAGGCCACAAGAGACAAGGAGAGGTTATGTGAGGTCAGCTGTGGCCGTGTGATGGAAGTTTTCATTTGTTTCTGTTCTGCGTTTTTACCGAATACCTCCTCCTCCTCCTCCTCCTCCTCCTCCTCCTCCTCCTCCTCCTCCTCCTCCTCCTCCTCCTCCTCCTCCTCTCAGCCTTCCCCCTCCCCCCACCAACTTCCCCTACCCCTTCCCCGAGGGCTTCCCCAAACCCCCTGACAAAGGCAAGAACCTCGTTTTGACTGCCGCCATTGTTTCTCCCCTCCTCCCCCTTTTCCTCTTCCTTCCCCCCTTATTCAAGCGCCATCTCCCTCTGTACTTCTTTCCTTCACATCCCTCTCTCTTTATCTATTTACTCATAAACTTGTCACCTCTCTTCTTGATCTCCTTTACTCCATATTCCTATCCTTCTCCTTTCCTTTCCTCAAGTCTGTCCCTTAAACCATTACCCTTAGGTGACCTCTGGGTGTTACAATAAAGAAGGATTTCACGCCCTTTAAAGCATTGTACACACACACACACACACACACACACACACACACACACACACACACACACATAGGAGGATTGACTGCATTAAACCCTAATAAATACACCCTTACAGAAGGACTTAGTGGTTTATTGTGTCTGACCACACACACACACACACACACACACACACACACACACACACACACACACACACACACACACACACCCACCCACCACCCACCCCACCCACACACACACACACACACACACACTCCTCCTTTATTAACTCCACAACTCTCAAAACAGAATTCAATTAACCAAACCATATTTCCTTCCTCTCAGTTCTGGCAGCTTATAGACCAACTTGAACAATAATAACAACACAAACCGGATAAACTGTCCTCAGATATAATGTTTGGTGGCTTTTATTTCCTTCTTCTGTGAGTCTTTTGTTTTTCATGATTGAGTAGTTGTGATGTTTCTTCTTCGTTGGTGAGGATAAGTGAATAATTGGTGAATGAAGGAAGGAAGGAAGGAAGGAAGGAAGGAAGGAAGGAAAATAATTGGTAAATGAATGAATGAATGAATTTAGTGTATGTCTTGTGAATGTTATTGTTGTTTTATTGTTGCTGTAATCGCCTTTTTCTTCCTGTTCATCTTTTTCGCCTTTTCTCCTTCTTTACCTTCCCATCCTCCTCCTCCTCTTTTCCTTTTCTCCTCCTCTTCGGCCTCCTCCTCCTCCTCTTCCTTTTCTCCTCCTCCTCTTCTTCTCCTTTTCTCCTCCCCGCTCGTGACCCAGCTGAGGGTAATCTCCTTAACGGGACCAGAATAAGTGCTAGTCTGGGGTAGTGGTTGTCGGGATGGTTCCTTACCGACTGAAACACCCGACCTCCTACTGCTGAAATACCCGACCTCCGACCGCTGAAACACCCAACTTCATAACTCGCTGAAACACTCAATCACTGAAACACCTGACCTCCACTCACTGAAACACCATAATACAACCTCGAAATATCAGAAAAAACACCCGAACATAACCCAGATATACACCTGGCGCCACGTTTACCTCCTAATTAAGTAATGTTGTCGGCTCAGGAAGTCCTATAAATTCTTGTTTTTGTTCTGTTAATTCTCAAAACAGAAGTTGCTGTGGTGCTGGTAATTATTTCTCGGCGATAATTGAAGGACACAGTGGCCTGGCGATGGTTGTTTGGGAGTTATTGTCCAGTAATTGTTTCTTGAATTTATTTCCCTGTGTGTGTGTGTTTAGAAAGAAGTGTACACTCTCCATCAAAAATACCTCCACTTTCACACCTCTTCCGTTTACTTCTCTCCCTCCTCCTTTCTCCCTCCCTCCCTCCTTCCCTCTTCCCCCCCTCCCCCACCTCCCCTCCTCCCCTCCCCCCTCCCCCACCTCCCCTTCTACGTGAGACACATTGGTCTTCATCATGTGGTTGAATGAGGGTGACTCTTCAAAAATATCCAAGGGCAGGCATGGCGAGGGAGGATAGTGGGAGAGGGAAGGGGGAGGTAAGTGGAAGGGGAGGAGGAGGAGGAGCTGGTAAGTGGAAGGGGAGGTAGTATAGTGAAAGGCGAAAGGGGGGTGAGAATGAGGGAGGGATGATTGTGGGAAGGGGGAGGTGAGTGTAAATGAGGAATGGGGATGCAATAGACAAAAGAAAATGGGAGTGAAAGAGAAAGGGGAGATAAAGATTGATGAAAAGAGAAGCGAAGTGAGAATTAGGTATAGGAAGGAGATTCAAGAGAAAAGATGAGCTCAGGCAGGAAGGAAGGGAGGGAGGGAGGGAGGGAGGGGGGAAATTAAGAAACGGATGAGGGAAAAGGTAACAAGGAGAGAGAAAGTAAGAGAAAGGAGTGAGTGAGGAAAATGGAAGAGGGAGGGAGAGTGATGGAGGAAAGGAGGAAGGGGGAGGGGGGAGTGAGGGAGGAAGGGAGAAGTGTGGTCACCGGAAGATACGGTCTGAAAGTTTTTAAAATCCTGACATAGTGACACTGGCTGCTATATTTTACAGTAACTGGCCTGGTTATATTCCCTTTCTGGGCTACACTGAACGCCGGGCTACAGGGGCTACACTGAACGCCTGACTACAGGGGATTACACTGAACGCCGGGCTATAGGGGCTACACTGAACGCCGAGCTACAATGGACAACATTGATTTCCACGCTGCAGGCACTACACTGAACACCGGGCTACAGGGGACTACACTGAACTCCATGCTACAGGGACTACACTGAACACCGGGCTACAGGGAACTACACTAAACGTCACGCTATAGGGACTACTCTGAACGCCGGGCTACAGAGGGCTACACTGAACACCGGGCTACAGAGGGCTACACTGAACACCGTGGCCTCAGTGAAACCGAAATTCTAAGTCTTTGCTAAAACGTTGGGATCTGGACTCACAGCTGTTTACATTTTGCGCGTTCTTGGTTCTGAAATCCGACTTGAAATCCGGATCTCCACATGAAGGACTTTAGGCTCAGGTTGTGTATAATAAGGTCTGGTGATTGGGTCTCTCGCTGGCATTTACCGGGGTTCATTGTGCCTCGGACTCAAAAGCTCTGGCTCTCATTCTCGGAGATTCGTAAGTTAATTTTTTTTTCCTTTCCCTTTCCCGTAAACAGATAAAGAGAGAGTATCTATTTTTACGATAGAGCCAGGGCGAAATTTTGACTCCATTCTTAGTCGTTTTCTTTGTTGTCGTAATTTAATTGAGTCATATACATGCGTTCTCTCGACACCTCTCAATCTGAATCCACGTCGCGAACTCTCAAATGATACGATAAAAATAACCTGTTAAAAATCGGCGCCTCCAGTTCACTTGCTTGCTATGAGACGCAAAGTTGACAGCTAAGATGACTTGAGAATCGCACTGAGACTGTAGGCTAGATACGTCCTCTTATCCTGGGGTAAAGGAGTGATGATCTAGCGTATGAATTAATGGGAATCAGGACCCGGATGTATACTTGCTGGATATCTGGGTCATGCAGGCTGCCTTACGTTGGAGATAATTAAAAAAAGAAATCAAGCTTCAATTTTGTGTATGTGTGTGTGTGTGTTGAGGTTTGAGTGACTCTTCTATTAAGCTTTAAATAGGCGGACGTCTGTAGGGACGTCTTTATCTCTTGAGCAGTGATTTTGTGTGTGTGTGTGTGTGTGTGTTACTCCATAAAATTTCCTTCAATATATTCTTATGACAATCCTATCACATAACATTTACACACACACACACACACACACACACACACACACACACACACACACACACACACACACAGTAGGAAGCTGAGCCATATAAATATATACCTCGTCACCTTAATACAGCCAATCGTGACCACCAATACAACAGGATAAACTAACTCTCCCAGCCACCCGAGCACTGAGCGGCTTAACACCTGGGACTGGATCGAATGGCTTTTGATTCTCCTGAACTACAGATAATTGACTGGAGGCTCCGTTACTGTGGCAGCGGAGAGAGAGAGAGAGAGAGAGACTTGACATGACTGGAGCCTCTGATTATGTAACTGGAGCCTCCGTTACTGTGGCAGCGGAGAGACAGTCTTTACATAACTGGAGGATTCTGTAACTGTAGCCTCCGTTACTGTGACAGCGGAAGTCTTTTTCATGACAGTAACTGTGGGGGAGAAAGAGTCTTTGTTGACTGGAACCTTCAAGATTGTACTGGCAGGGACGCAATTATCTGGCAGGGAGCTCGAGTTCTTTCTTTAGTTCCAGTGACTTTAATACTAACAAGAGACTCCACGAGACAATAGATAATGGCTCTTAATTTCAACGCCTCAGCAGCAGTTGGAACGAGCAAGTATTTTCTGGGTTTATTTTTGGGGTCTCACTACACTAGCTCCTCCACAAACCAGGTCACTCCAAGGTCCTCAACAAACCAGGTCACTCCCAGGTCCTCAACAAACCAGGTCACTTCCAGGTCCTCAACAAACTAGGTCACTTCAGCACAGCGGCCAACTAACCACTCGAGGTCTTCAACAAACCATTGACATCATACAAGCCATTACGGCATTAAGTCGACGTTGAGTGTCCTGGCTGGTCGATACCCCCGCCAGCACAGCCTTCCGGGGGAGCCCTTCGTCAGCAGGGTTTGTTCCACACACTTATATTACTATCAGCTCGACATACGTGTTTAGTGTTTGCTGGACCAGGTTTAGTGTTTGCTAGACACATACCCTTTGGCTATATCTTTATTCCTTATTTACAGTTGTTTATCTTAACGGATTTTTTTTTTATTTTTTTTATTTTTTTTTTATTTTTACGGAGATCTTAAGGCCAAGAGAAAACTGAATAGCCCGAAGCTCTTTCACCGCAACCGTTGATTGGCGCAAGAAGACGAGCAATTGACCAATCAGCATCCAGCACTAGAGAAAACACTCTCCTACAACCGTCCACTAAACCATAACCATTCAGAATATATTATTTATTCCTACACCAAGCACAAGAAATGTATTCTCCCCTGAGGTATGGAGTGGCCAGCTTTGACACGCCATTTGAATAATCTACGTTGACGGCGGAGGGAATCGTATACTCCAGTGCCCGCGAATTTTCTGTTCACGTTTCATTCTCAACGTCCTGATGGTTTAGTTAAGTCACATGTCTTAGCCCAGGAGTGTACACGAAATAAATCTTGATCTGTTAAAAAAAAAACTTGTATGTGTGAAGAAAATTGAAGATCGTGTGTTTTAAAAGGTAGTGAGGATAGGACATGGTGAATACGTATCCCCTATTCTGGTAAACAAGAAGGCAACGTTACCAACACTGTACTCGACCACCCTCACTTACCCAACTGTAAACTTAGGTACCCATTCACAGCTTAGTCGACTGTGGGGGATGGGGGATGGAGGGGCACTGTAACCACCCAACCGCCTCGTCAGATTTAATAACCAGCAAATTTCTCCTGAATATTTTTATCCCTCGACAACGAAAGTCAAAGGCGATTTTTTTTTCTACGTGTACCTTTATATCGTCACGCTCATCTCGCCCCTAACAACACCACTCTTGTTACGCGTCTCTCCACTCATGGATGATATTGCCAGCTGTTATTATTATTACCAATAAGGTCAAAAGGTCACACACATATCAGACCGTCAAACTATACGATGAGGTATAAGAACCCTGTCTCTAGTCTAATGTTTCCTGGTGTTATTATGGTCTTAACCCAGGCTGTCAGCTGCTGTTTAATGGTTTGTCTGTCGGTATTACCTCAAAAGGTCTCGTGTTAGTGTGTGTGTGTGTGTGTGTGTGTGTGTGTGTGTGTGTGTGTGTGTGTTAATACAACTCTTCTGTGTAACATGTTGGGTATCACATTTTCTGTGTCTCAGATTTTCGTGGGAAACTCTTGAAAATCTATCTCTCCAAATACAAGGGTAATCTTAATCTGAGGGTTTAAGTTCACCTCAATGGCGCTAATTTTCCGTCCGTTCCACATTTCTTCTCTCTCTCTCTCTCTCTCTCTCTCTCTCTCTCTCTCTCTCTCTCTCTCTCTCTCTGTGAGAATTCCGTCCCTCACCTTCCACTAAAACGAATTTCCTCATTTCTTTTCAGTTGCTTATGTTTCTTTGTTTTGTTTTTCTCTCTCAGTTTGCTCAGGGCTTCTACCTCATTGTCTTATTCCTCCAATTATTTTGCCTCAGATTTGCTGTTTCTCCTGTGTCTTATTTCACCTCTTTCTCAGATTTACAAGAGGTTGGTTGGTCCTCCGTGTTATCTAGTGAACATATGGCACTGGGCAGGCTGCTCTATCTCAGTACTCGGTTCGCATTTGTTCAGCATTATTCTCGTTCTTTTGTTTTTCTTTCTTGGGTTTTTTAATTATTTTTTTCTGGTAGTTGGGTTTTGTTTTGGCATTAATTTCGTGAGTTTTTTTTTTTCTCCCTTCATTTCTTATCATATTTTGTGTATTTCTCAGTTCTTATGTTCTCTCAGTTGTTGTTCTCAGGATTTTATCTCAATTCTTGGGTTTTAAAAGTTCCAGATGTTTGATTCTTAGTGTTCTTGATATCTCTTAGTGGAGATAATTTATTTTTTCAGCTACTTGTTTGTCTGTCTGTCTGTCTGTCTGTCTGTCTGTTCTGTCTGTCTGTCTGTCTGTCTGTCTCTCTCTCAATATCCAGTTCGTTCTCCTTGTGATTTCCAAAGTTATCATCGTTATTCTTCTAAACTATCAAATTTGCAGGTCTCTTCTTCAGGTGTTGTTTATGTTTCACGTATCTCAACCCCCTTTATGCATCGTCATTTCCATATCTCTGGTTCCAATTAGCATATTTTCCCCAATTCATATTTTCTTTTCTTGTTTCATATATATTCGTGTAAATGCTTCATAGTTTCTCTTTATGAATATTTCCCATTTTCTTATCTCTCTATTTCTGGGTCTTTCTTTTTTCTTTCTTTCTTTCTTTCATTCATTTTGGGTCCTTCATTGCTTCCTTCTTTCTGTCTTTTTTGTGGATTTATCGTATTTTCCTGAACCAAATTCCAAAGTGGTTCGTCTTGCACATGTCACCTTTTCATATTATATTTTCCCAGCTCCTCATTCTTCTTCCTTGACATTTTTTATATAATTCTTAGCCTTACACATTTTATATCTCCTTATCTCATTTTCCTAATTCTTCATTCTTGGTAATTTCATAGTTTTCCTTGTGTAATTGTCATAGATTTTGACTTTGTTTCTTGCTATGTCCTGTGTTCCCTTGATTCACACTTAACACCAGCTCTATTTGTCCTTGCTATTTTCTCATCAACGTTGACTATTAACTTTTAACTTTGGTGGGGTCATAACTCAATAGACTAGACCTATATTTCCCTATAAAGTGTTGTATTATAGGGGGTCCATAGGTCAGAGGTCACCATAACCTAAAGGAAACAATAGTCATTTACTTTATATTAGTTGGGGGTCTAAACTTGTCTCTTTGTTACGTTTTCTGTGATCACTCGTAGGTATGTCCCATTTATGTGTCAGGCAGGATCTTATATGTGTCTCTAATATGTGTGTTTTAGGTACATATTATTACATATTATATCTTATTCTATGTGTAATTTTCTTAGGTTTTTGTTATTCTCTTACATATACATATATTGTCATCTCTGTCTCTCTCTCTCTCTCTCTCTCTCTCTCATATCATTCTTGTGGTTGTCAACTTACTCCTTCCTCCAGGCATGCGCACGTGTATTACTGTATTATCTACATTGCATTATATTGTACTATTGTATCTCACATTGCATTTTCCAAATCTAGTTTACATTGTATTCATTTCCACCATGACATGTCTTGTGTGCTGAGTGTTGATTGATTTTTTTTTCCCAACATAACTAATTTGTATGAAGCGGTGAGTTTGCTATGTATCTTAGTCTATGAATTGATGAACTTAGCTAATTACTTAAGGTAGATTATGGGTGAATAATATTGTTATTATTTGTTTTTGGTAATTGGCTTTAATGTTATTGATATGATTAGTGTGTGTTATTTATATAGTGTTTATTTTCTGCATGTTTGATTCCCTTGATTTTTTTTTTTTTTAGCCAATCGCTTTCTTATCCGCACTTAATATTAATTCTCTTTACTCTCTTCTGCTACTACTACTGTTAATCTAATTCTCTCTCTTTCTCTCTTCTTTATCTCTCTCTTTATATCGTCTTTCACTTGCTGGATAAAGATAAAAGTGACTTAGTAATTTTATTAGACTTAGAATACCTTATTAGAGTATTAGAAGTGACTAGTAATAAGTAATAAAGTAATAAGTAATTAAGTAGAAGTGATAAAATGGTGTATAAATGTCAGTAGATGTGACCACTTATAATTATGGTATTAATATGAGTATTATTATCATTAAATTATTTATTAATGTAATAATTTAATCTTAAGTTAGTGAGCGATAAATAATAATAATTACACTGAATATGATAATTATGTAGATGATAATTGAGAGAATACTAATTACAGGTAATAATTGAGTTAAATTAATGGATAATTTATATAATATTTTTAAAAGAGTTAAAAACATTTATCCAGTGAGTGAAATTAATGTTTTTTTTAATACTACCTATAACTGACCCTACCTAATGCGTCTCTACAATCCATCTCCCCTTTATAATTACTATAATCTCTTGACCCTTGATACTATCCTCTTCAATAATTCACATTGTAATTCCTAAGCTAACCGTAATTTTCTTAATAATCCCTACTTCCTCTCTATGATCCTAGTAATCCCTTCACTAATCATAATCTTAATAATCCCAACTCCCTCCTGTGTAGAATCCCAGTAATCCCTTCTATTAATCCCTTCTATAAATCATATAATCTCTAGCCCCCCCCCCCCTTGATGCTGCCCTCTTTAATAATCATATTCTTTTTGGTAATTCCTCACCTCGCTTAAATCCTTTTCCTGATCAGTCTCACCCTTATGATAATCCCTTACCCTATTAAGATAATCTTTGTTAATTCCTTCGCCCTTACAGTAGCATTCCTCCCTATAATAAATCCTTACTCCCTTTTTTCCACCCTGACCCTAACAACAATCATTTTTACCCTTGGCTTGACTCCCTTCCCTCCCTCCCTCATCTCCTCCTCCTCCTCCTCCTCCCTCCTCTCCTCCTCCCTCCCTCATCTCCTCTGCTCACTCCTCCTGCCTCACTCCCTCCGTCCCGCCCTCACTCACCCTCCTCCATGTCCCTCCCCACTCTCCCCCTGCACCTCCCTTCGTGATACACCCTGATAATCGTCTTTTTAAATTCCTGGATTCATTTTAGGTGTGTTTTTGTGTTTTGTTTTGGTCAGTCTCCTTCCAACCACAGTCCAGTCTATTTCCCCTTTACCACAGTCTAGTCTATTGCCCCTTTACCACAGTCCAGTCTATTGCCCCTTTACCAGTCTAGTCTATTGCCCCGTTACCACCGTCCAATCTATTGCCCCTTTACTAGTCTAGTCTATTGCCCTGCTACCACCGTCCAATCTACGGGTTCTTTACCATACAGTCTAGTCTATTTCTTTACCACAGTCTAGTCTATTGCCCCTTTACACCACAGTCCAGTCCATTGCCCTCACCATGTCCAGTCTATTGCTCCTTTACCACAGTCCAGTCTATTGCCCCTTTACCACAGTCCAGTCTATTGCCCCTTTACCACAGTCCAGTCTATTGCCCCTTTACCAGTCTAGTCTATTGCCCCTTTACCAGTCTAGTCTATTGCCCCGTTACCACAGTCCAGCGGGGTGAACTCTGTGAAAACACTTAAGAGATTATCCCCTTAGTGTGGGTGGCCCTAAATGGCCCTTATCCCTGAAGTGTGTGGCCCTAATTGGCCCTTATCCCTAGTGTGTGACCCTAAATGGTCCTTATCCCTAGAGTATGTGGCCCTAAATGGCCCTTATCCCCCGCCCATGTCACGGAGGATGGTGGTTCCTTGTAAATGACCCGATCAGGTAACTTAAACCAGATGGGTACAGCCATCACATCCCAGCCCACTCTCATCCACGTCAATTCCCTATCTAGCCCCCACTCACCCATCTCAGTCTCATCCTTAGCCCCCACTCACCCATCTCAGTCTCATCCTTAGCCCCATTCACCCACCTCAGTCTCATTCTTAGCCCCACTCACCCACTTCAATTCCCTATCTAGCACCACACATCTACGTCAACCCCCTCACACTCACGGTAAACCCGGCGTGATGGTTCCCTCTCATCCCAGTATGCTGTTGAAAACACTTCCCTCTCTCCCAACATTTTCTGCATTCTTCCTCCTCACCCAAAACAGTGTTAGTTCAGCTCCTTTCATCCCATACCAGTCCCCACCTCTCCCTCTCTAACCTCGTTCAACCCAGCCTCTACCTCCCCCTCACCTCTAATCTAGATCAGGTCAGGTCAGCCCCTGCCTTTTGCACATCAGCCCCCTCTCAACCATTTCAAAAAACGGTTCAGTCCCTCTTACTCCAGCCAGTCCCTCTCTCTTTTCCATCTCTACCCCACTTGTCATCACAGCCTGACAGGTGTCATCACTACCCACAAATTCCAACCTATTTGTAACCCCCTTCCCCTCCTCCTCCCCCATTCCTCAACTTCCCCCTTCTCCTATCATCCCCCCCACTTCCACTCCCCCTCCCCACAAACCCTCCCCCTCTAGACCAGGCATCACATAGTTGTTATAACCCTAACTGGCGAAAAATACCCCAAATATCGCCCACTTTTCCAACGTGATATAAATCTCACGTATACTCTGTGAAATAAATGTTGCCTGACAATATAAAATCAGAGTTCATATATAAATTTAAATGTTGCCTTGTTCTTTCGGTTTATTTGTCTCCTCTTTTTTTAACTGTTGTAATCCAGAATAGTAACTCTGATATATACTGAAGTTGGGTTATCTTATATAATGGTTCAGTGTTTAAGTAATATTAGGTTTAGTTTTATAATGTGAAATAATGTAAAACAATTAGGTGAACATTTTGTTTTATTCGTTATTAAATATGTCAGCATAACCACCACTTCCTCCTGTACCACCATCCACCACCACATGTACCACCACCACGACCATCCTCTTCCACCTGTACCACCACGACCACCCACTTCCACCAGTACCATCATTACTATAACCTGAACCAACAATGAAAGTTTTGTGCCCTCCACCTTCTTCTACCACCACTACCATCATCCCAGCTTCACCTACCACCATTACCACCTGTCCAGATGCCCGTAATGTTTTTTTTTTCACCGTAACCCGCCTCTACCAGCCCTTCACTGCCCCCAGCGGCCCTTCACGCCCTAGTGTGTTTCTCTCATCTCCAGCTATCCACTTTGACTCGCTCTGAGCCGCTCTGGCACTTCCACCGCCCAGGTTAACCATCCTTACCCCGCCATAGTTAGGCCCTATCCTATTATAACCTACCTTAGACAAGTCCTGTCACACCCTGCTCCTCCCTAACCCGCCCTGCCCTTTCCAAAGTCAGCACTGACCCGCCCTGCTCAGCCTTAACCTGCTCTGCCCCTACCCCAGTAAGGCCCTAACCCGCCCTGCCCCTACCAGGCCCTAACTCGCCATACCCGTGCCCTAGTAAGCCTCTAACCCGCCCAGTAAGCCTCTCCCACCCACCCCGGCCCGCCGCCCCGTGAGGCTAACGGTGTTGTAGTACTAACGGGTGTGTCCCCGCTTGGCCATCCTGCAGGCGCTGCTTCAGGCACACGATGTGGTGGCGCACGAGGTGTACGGCGACGAGGCCATCCGCGTGACGCCGCCCCCTCTACTGCCCTACCTCAACGGCGGCGACGACGTCGACCCCGCCAACGGCGACGTAGACATGGAGAACATCACCAGGGTCAGACTCGTGCAGTTCCAGAAGAACTCTGACGAGCCCATGGTACGTGGGGCCACACACCTACACTACACCCCTACACCCAGTGAAAGGGCTGCAACCTGCGCCACACATGTACACACCTGCACCTAGTGATGGTGCTACTAACCAGGGCCACACATGTGTTGTACACACCTGCACCCAGTGATGGTGCTACTACCAGGGCCACACATGTACACACCTGCACCCAGTGATGGTGCCATTGCCAAGTCCACAAATGTACACACCTGCACCCAGTGATGGTGCTACTACCAGGGCCACACATGTGTTGTACACACCTGCACCCAGTGATGGTGCTCCTACCAGGGCCACACATGTACACACCTGCACCCAGTGATGGTGCTACTACCAGGGCCACACATGTCACACACCTGCACCTAGTGGTGGTGCACACACACACACATGTACACACCTGCACCTAGTGATGGTGCCACTTACCAGTACCACACATGTGTTGTACACACCTGCACCCAGTGATGGTGCTACCAGGGCCAAACATCTACACACCTGCACCTAGTGATGGTGCTACTAACCAGGGCCACACATGTGTTGTACACACCTGCACCCAGTGATGGTGCTATTACCAGGGCCACATATGTTGTACACACCTGCACCCAGTGATGGTGCACACAGGGCCACACATGTTGTACACCTCCGCACCTAGTGATGGTGCTATTACCAGGCCACACATGTAGTGTACACACTGCACCCAGTGATGGTGCTACTTACCAGTACCACACATGTGTTGTACACACCTGCACCCAGTGATGGTGCTACACAGCCACACATTTGTTGTACACACCTGCACCCAATGATGGTGCTATTGCCAGGGCCACACATGTGTTGTGCACACCTGCACCCAGTGATGGTGCTCCTACCATGGCCACACACATGTGTTAGCACACCTGCACCCAGTGATGGTGCTACTACCAAGGCCACACATGTACACACCTGCACCCAGTGATGGTGCTACTACCAAGGCCACATGTACACACCTGCACCTAGTGATGGTGCTACTACCAGTACCACACATGTGTTTTACACCTGCACCCAGTGATGGTGCTATTACCACACACACATGTGTTGTACACACCTGCACCATGTGATGGTGTATTGCCAGGCCACACATGTGTTGTGCACACTGCACCCAGTGATGGTGCTCCTACCAGGCCACACATGTACACACCTGCACCCAGTGATGGTGCCATTACCAAGTCGACACATGTACACACCTGCACCAGTGATGGTGCTAAATAGGGCCGGCCACATGTGTTGTACATACCTGCACCGTGATGGTGCTATTACCAGGCCACATATTGGCACACCTGCACCCAGTGATGGTGCTACTACAAAGCCACACATGTACACACCTGCACCTAGTGATGGTGCTACTAACCAGGGCCACACATGTTGTACACACCTGCACCCAGTGATGGTGCTACACACACACACACACATACACACCTGCACCTAGTGATAGGCTACTACAGGGCCACACGTACACACCTGTACCTAGTGATGGTGCTACTACTAGCACACACATGTGTTTTACACACCTGCACCCAGTAATGGTGCTACTACCATGGACACACATGTACACACCTGCACCAATTGATGGTGCTACTACCAGGCCACATATACACACACCTGCACCCAGTAATGGTGCTACACAAGGCCACATATTTACACACTTGCACCTAGTAATGGTGCTCCTACCGGGGCCACATGTACACACCTGCACCTAGTAATGGTGCTACTACCAGGTCACACATGAACACACCTGCACCCAGTGAGGGTCGATTACTAAGGCCACATATGTACACACCAACCCACTAGTATAGCACACCTACACCCACTAGTACTGTAGTACAACACACCCATATCCACTAGAGTACTGTAGTACAACACACTTACACCCACTAGTACTGTAGTAAACACACTTAACCCACTACTCACTAGTAGTACAACACACCTACACCCACTGTAGTACAACACGCTCACACCCACTAGTACTGTAGTACAACACACCTACACCCACTCAGTACTGTAGTACAACACATCTACACCCACTAGTACTGTATTACAACACACTTACACCCACTCAATACTGTAGTACAACACATCTACACCCACTAGTATTAGTACAACACATACACCCTACCAGTAGTACAACACTGACACTTAATAGTACTGTAGTAAAACACATCTACACCCACTAGTAGTACACAACACGCCTACACCCACTAGTACTGTAAGACAACACTTACACCCACTAGTACTGTAGTACAACACACCTACACCCACTAGTACTAGACAACACTTACACCCACTAGTAGTGCACAACACACCTACACCCACTAGTACTGTAGTACAACACTTACACCCACTAGTACTGTAGTACAACACACCTACACCCACTAGTACTTGTAGCACAACACACCTACACCCACTAGTACTGTAGTACAACACCTTACACCCACTAGTAGTACAACACACCTACACCCACTAGTACTGTAGTACAACACTTACACCCACTAGTACGTAGTACAACACTTACACCCACTCAGTACTGTAGTACAACACACCTACACCCACTAGTACTGTAGGACAACCCACCTACACCCACTAGTACTGTAGTACAACACACCTACACCCACTAGTACTGTAGCACAACACACCTACACCCACTAGTACTGTAGTACAACACACCTACACCCACTAGTACTGTAGTACAACACACCCACACCAGTACTGTAGGCCAACACTACACCCACTAGTACAGTAGTACAACACACCTACACCCACTAGTACTGTAGGACAACCCACTCTACACCCACTAGTACTGTAGGACAACCCACCTACACCCACTAGTACGTAGGACAACACCCTACACCCACTAGTACAGGACAACCCACCCACACCCACTAGTACTGTAGGACAACCCACTCTACACCCACTAGTACTGTAGGACAACACGCCTACACCCACTAGTACTGTAGGACAACCACCCACACCCACTAGTACTGTAGGACAACCCACCTACACCCACTAGTACTGTAGTACAACACACCTACACCCACTAGTACTGTAGTACAACACACACCTACACCCACTAGTACTGTAGTACAACACACCTACACCCACTAGTACTGTAGTACAACACTTACACCCACTAGTACTAGTACAACACTTACACCCACTAGTACTGTAGGACAACACTTACACCCACTAGTACTGTAGACAACACGCCTACACCCACTAGTATCAGAGACAACCCACCTACACCCACTAGTACTGTAGGACAACCCACCCACACCCACTAGTACTGTGGGACAACACTTACACCCACTAGTACTAGGACAACACTTACACCCACTAGTACTGTGACAACACTTACACCCACTAGTACTGTAGGACAACCCACCTACACCCACTAGTACTGTAGGACAACCCACCTACACCCACTAGTACTGTAGGACCAACCCACACCCCACTAGTACTGTAGTACAACACGCCTACACCCACCTAGTACTGTAGTACACACCTACACACTAACTGTGGTACAACACACCTACACCCACTAGTACTGTAGTACAACCTTACACCCACTAGTACTGTAGTACAACACTTACACCCACTAGTACTGTAGGACAACACTTACACCCACTAGTACTGTAGGACAACACACCCACCCACTAGTACTGTGGGACAACACACCTACACCCACTAGTACTGTAGGACACTTACACACCCCACTAGTACTGTAGGACAACACTTACACCCACACTAGTACTGTAGGACACTTACACCCACTAGTACTGTAGGACAACCCACCTACACCCACTAGTACTGGTAGGACAACACTTACACCCACTAGTACTGTAGGACAACACACCTACACCCACTAGTACTGTAGTACAACACACTTACACCCACTAGTACTGTGGGACAACACGCCTACCCACAGTGCTGTAGTACCAACACCTACACCCACTAGTACTGTAGACAACACTTACACCCTAGTACTGTAGGACAACCCACCTACACCCACTAGTACTGTGGTACAACACTTACACCCACTAGTACTGTAGTACAACACTTACACCCTAAGTACTGTAGGACAACCACTTACACCCACTAGTACTGTAGTACAACACTTACACCCACTAGTACTGTAGACAACACACCTACACCCACTAGTACTGTAGTACAACACACACCTACACCCACTAGTGCTGTAGGACCAACACTTACACCCACTAGTACTGTAGGACAACACTTACTACCACTAGTACTGTAGTACAACACTTACACCCACTAGTACTGTAGGACAACACGCCTACACCTAGTGCTGTAGTACTCACCACACCCACTAGTACTGTAGGACACACACCTACACCCACTATGCTGTAGTACACCACACCTACACCCACTAGTACTGTAGCTGCTGCCCACACCCACTATCTGTAGGACCTTCACCCACTAGTACTGTGGGACAACCCACCTACACCCACTAGTGCTGTGGGACAACCACCTACACCCACTAGTACTGTGGGACACCACACCCACTATCAGTACACACCTACACCCACTAATGTGTAGGACAACACTTACACCCACTAGTACTGGGACAACCCACCTACACCCACTAGTACTGTAGGACAACACACCTACACCCCTAGTACTTGTGAGACCTCACACCCACTAGTGCTGTAGTACAACACTTACACCCACTAGTACTGTAGTACAACACTCTTACCCACTAGTACTGTGAACAACCCACACCTACACCCTAGTACTGTAGGACAACACACCTACACCCACTAGTACTGTAGGACAACACACCTACACCCACTAGTACTGTAGTACAACACACCTACACCCACTAGTACTGTGTACCCACCCACATACGTGACAACACACCTACCCACTATCTGTAGTACAACCACACCCACTATCTTGGACAACACACCTACACCCACTAGTACTGTAGGACAACACCTCAC